CAGTTCCCCACGTATGCCGTGCTGATTAACTCATTTCCGAGGACAGCTCACTGAAGAAGCTAACTATTTTTATCCTCACTCTTCCAGGTGAGCAAATAAGATTCAGAGAGGCTGTGACTTCAGATGATCACGTAGGTAGTGGAACTAGAAATTCAACCCAGCCTGGCTCCAGCAGTCCCTACTGTAGACTGTGCTACAGCTCTTAAAGAACTCTCAGTACCCTTTGCAAAATCAGCAAAAACAACCAGGGGATGCAATTATATTGGCAACAGATCGGGAAAAGAGCACTGTACAGAAGTTGTCTGAGGTGCCTGAGAAACCGATGTGGCTTGCAAGGAGGAGGACCGAGTAAGACAAATAAAATACCGGTCGTGGGTGTCCTTATTTGTCTGTTTTTGGAAGCTCCCCATTTGATTTCAATGCGTTTAGGACTAAGCAAATTTTAGAAGTTTTTTTGGTTTTGTTTTTGGTGATTCAGGCCTGCAATTCTGGCACTTTGAGAGGCTGAGGTAGGAGGATTACAGTTTTGAGTACAGCCTGGGCAATGAAATGACTTAGCAAGACCCTGACTCTAAATATGATTTTTTTTTTTTTTTGGTACTGGGAATTGAACTCATGACCTCAGGCTTGCCAGGCAAGCGCTATGCTGCTGAGCCATATCTCTGGCCTCCTAACTCTAAACAAACAAACAAATACAGTAAATAGAGGGCTGAGGGTATAGCCCAGTGTTAAAGCTTGTGTCCAATCCTGAGTACTAAATATCAAATATATATATATTAAACTTTACTCCATATATATATATGTATGTAATAAACTTTAATCTGAAGACATTACTCCTAGTCACACTCAGGGCCATGCAATAAATATTTAATTATTTGCATCACCACACATATCTTTTTTTTTTCCTGTCTTTTTGAGACAGGGTCTCACTATGCAGTTCAGGCTGGACTTGAGCTCACTTTGCAGCCCAGGCTGGTCTCAGACTTGCAACAATCTTCCTGCCTCAGCCTCCTGAGCACTGGGATTATAGGCGTGTGCCACCATGCGTGGCTACAAAGTGATTTCAAGACCAACCTGAATTGCATAGTGAGATTCTGTCTCAAAAATAAATAAATAAATAAACATTTCCTATCCCAGTGATGGTGAACCTTTTGGAGAGAAGTGCCCAAACTGCAACCCCAAACCCACTTATTTATCACCAAGTGCCAACCCTGCAACGAAAACTGAGTATTGAGGTTTAGCTTAGATAAAACAACTCATACCCTTGGCTCAAGTGCCGACAGAGAGGGCTTTGCGTGCCCCCCGCAGCACGTGTGCCGTAGCTCTGCCACCACTGCCCTACTCATAGTTTTGCCAGTGTAATATGAAGAGTACATGGTTACTATGTACTGGATGCAATTCCTGAGGGACTGAAGGAATAGACTAAATATAAATATTATCGGTCCTCTGTGTAAATTTTTTCCTCGGTCAATCTCCCTGCAGGTCATTTACTGGATTTTCCTAGTGTTACTATCTCTTTGATGAAGCTTCTGTAGCTCATGAAATACTTCTCTTGTTGGCCTTTGGGTTTGATGCATTTTATGTCCCAGGAAGCTGGGACATCAGAGTGGAAACCCGTAACATTTTAGCTCTGTAGAACTTCTTCTGAAGGTTGTATGTCACATCCCTCTATGTGTCCTTTGTGAGGATTGTTCTCTATCCTAGGTTATCCTCCGTGGTATATAACATCATACTAGCAGGAAACATAACACTTGCTGGGCTGGAATTTTCAATCCAGCTGTCTCACCCTCCCAGGGTGCTGGGATTACAGGCGTGTGTTGCCACGCCCAGCTAGCGTTCTTGCTTTGTAGCAGGCATTAAGTATTATGTACAGCCAGCCTTTCTTATCTGTGTACTTGTTCAACCAACTTGGGATTGCAAAATTTGAAAAAAAAAAAAAAATTGCGTCAGTACTGAATACATACACATTTTCTATTTATTTCTCTAAGCAATGCAGGTTAACAACTATTTAGCAGCTGTTTTGTGTTGTATTAGGTGTTATAAGTAATCTGGAGAGGATTTAAATTATATAGGATTTAAATTACGTAGGAAGCCAGGCATGGTGGCGCACACCCATAATCCCCGCGCTTGAGAGGCTGAGGCAGGAGGATCGTAAATTCGAGACTAGCCTGGCCTACAAAGTGAGCTCAAGGCCAGCCTGAACTGCATAGCGAGATCCTGTTTTAAAAAGACACACACACAAACTATATAGGAAGTTATACGCAAATTATCCCCATCATTTTATATATGGGACTTGAACATCCCTAGATTTTGCTATGTGGAGAAGGTCTGGAACCAATTCCTCATGGATAAGACCAAACTTACTTCTTTTTTGTCTTTTTGAGACAGGGTCTTGCTATGCAGTTCAGGTTGGCTTTGAGCGCACTTTGTAGCCCAGGCTGGTCTTTTTTTTTTTTTTTTTCCCCTGGTACTGGAAATCGAACTCACGACCTTGCGCTTGCCAGGCAGGCACGGTGCCGCTGAGCTAAATCCCCAGCACCCCCCATTTTTTTTTTCCCCCAGACTGGTCTTGAACTCACAACGATCCTCCCGCCTCAGCCTCCCAAGGGCTGGAATTACAGGCGTGTGCCACCACGCCCGGCAAGACCAAACTTATTAACATACTCTTTATGACAACTCCATGAAGTAGGTAACTATTTTTAGCTTCAGTTCCCCCCCCCCCAATCAAACTCAGGACCTTCCCCTTGCCAGGAGGGTGCTTTGCTGCTGAGCTACACCCGCAACCCTTTAGCCTCAGTTTTGAGGGTGAACAGATACCCGTGGGTAGTAGATGATCGCATGGGTAGCAGATGACCAGAAATGTGATCTCGGCAGTTCAGCTCCAGCAGTTATTACAGTAAGGAAGTCTTCAAGAACTCTCAGCTGTGGTGGCACATACCTGTAATACCAGCACTCAGGAAGCTGAGGCAGGAGGATTATTGTGAGTTGAGGCCAGCCTGGGCTACAAAGTGAGCTCAAGGCCAGCCTGAACAGCATAGCAAGACCCTGTCTCAAAAAGACAAAAAACAAAACAAAACAAAACTAAAAACAAAAAAACTCCAAAAGAACTCAGTATCCTATGGGAAATCCGCAAAAACATTCCACGTGATGCAATTATCCTGGCAATAGATTCGGAAAAGAAGGCCCTATTGAAGTTGCCTGAGGTAACTTGGAAGGGACTAGGACAGACCCACAGCTCACACCTAGATTCTCTAGTGCCTTAAGTTATTTAGAAATGAAGCTTCCTGTAAGCAGGGAGGGCATCCACCACTTTTAGTTTTATTCACGTCCTAGAAAAAAGTAGTGATGTAGTCGAATATATTCGAGTTCTTAACCTCTTTTGGACTATGAATTTTCTTTTCTTTTTTTTCTGGTACCGGGAATCAAACTCACGACGTTGCGCTTGCCAGGCAGGCGCTGTGCCGCTGAGCTACAACCCCAGCCCCTTCTTTTCTTTTCTTTTTTTTTTTTTTT